TCAGAGTCCCTTTGCCATCGGTCTCTCTCTCTCGCCGCACGGTTTATCTTGGGTTGCTAAGCTTCAGATGTGTCGAGGCGTTGGGACTTTAGATCAAGAGGATCTTCTCGTCGTCGAAGACATAGACTCTGGTTTTTGCTTGGTGGTCCGGTGGTTGCAGCGGCTAGATCTCGATCTAGTTGTTGATATGACTGGAACTCTACTAAGAGCATCACATTATTGGTGATACATTAAGAGTATCACCAAAAATAATTTAATATTAATTTTAATAGTTTTTTAATCTTTGACTTATTAAAGATTTTCTAAATTTTGTATGTTTAATGTGATACTCAATGGGTATCAAAAAAATAAAAAAAGTTTTGCCAATGAGGAAAAACAACAAAAACACTTGTTACCATTGGCTTTATCTACCAAAATCTTGAAGAGCATTGCAAAACATTCAATCCATAATTAACAGAGCATCAAATTTATGGAAAATGGTCTCTGATAGTTAAGTTGTCATGCTCAGCTACTACTTCAAGATCCTTAATCATATTAGCCAGCTTACAACACCAACAAGGATATATTCCATAATCAAGTATCTCATGTATATATAACTTCTACAACAACAAATTACTCTCAATCACTCAATGCTCAAGATCATGTTCAATGCACCAATAATCAACTCAAACTATAATACACAGACAACCTTAAGAAACCAGAACGAAGCTAACTATTGGAAAGAATGAGGAAGGTATCAAGGGAGACAGTACATGAAGGGGTTACCTCGTTGATGGCATTATCCTTGGCAGCAACAGTTGTGAGTCTAGAAACAAAGGGTGGCCAGAAGAATAGAAATCCATGACTGCTGCACATATTTCAAGCTTGAGGATATCCCATGATATACCTTCTTCTTGTGCGGGTCGGATTGCTGTTTCTTCAGCTTGCTTAAACTGCACATGTGAGCCATTTTATAGTTACCCACTGCATGAAACAGAGGCTTTGGAAGCCGCAATAAATCTCTTAAATCACAAAATATTCAACCTACTCAAGAGTTTCGATCTTGTCTCTTCCACTGCAGATCATGCTCCCTAGATACAGAACATTATAGTGTAAACGTTTGATTTTAATGCTTGATTAAGTCGAAAATGATGATGTGCTTCTAAAATACCAATCAATCACAAAGCTCATGGGAAAGATCCATAAATTACACGGTCCAAGTACCTGGTTCCTCCATACTACAGAGCTAGGGTTCATAGACTTTTGGTTCCTCCATAGTAAAGAAAGAAGCTCATTACGGATTTCACCAGCTAATAGCTTCAACACCTATGAAAAGAAAAACCATCTTCATTAATCTCAGTCCCTTTTGAGTTTCATTCAATTACATAAGAACCCTCAAGACTTCACCTTAATACTCAAATTCTTCCACTGTGATGGAGTTTCAATGCTGTCTAGTATTGCGTCTCAGTTTTCTCATCGCAGTACGCATCAATATTTGGCAAAGAACATACTCGAGCTAGAGAATGGGCTCGTCTCACCCAAAATGCATTTCAGCAATAATTTGGGTTTTTGGAGAAAATGGTCAGATCCACTGCTCAAAATATATCCCAATTTGCATACAATCAAGGAAGGAAAAGTTGCAGCCAAATTAAGCGATACTTTTCAACATTCGTTCTCACACAAATAATATCAGTTCAGAGATTCAAAGACAGACTCTGCATATTATCCATCAATTTCAAAGGGATTCTCTCGAGTTGTGGTAAATTCAACATGAATCTCACCCGGGAATCACTACCGTCTTGATCAGCCTCAACATTCTATAGAAAAAAAGGAGAGG